TGCAGCCAGAGTCTGAGCTTCACATGCAACACTCCAGTCTCCGATATCCCTGGGCCAGACCTTGGCTCACTCCCGACCACCAGGGGCAGGGTCATATGCAGGCACTCTGCCAGACTGATGCAGCCAAAGGGAGGGAAGGAAAAAGCACAACCTACAGTTGGGGAGGGGGGGGGGTGTCAGCCTATGGCATGGGTGCCAAGTGGCACAGGGAGCCCTTGCATGTGACATGTAGCAGGTCAAGGAGGGAACAAGCAGCAGAGCAGGAGACAGGGCAGGGAGCAGAACGCAGGGCAGCAGATTGGGCAGGAAGCACAGAGTAGGGACCAGAAGACAGAGTAGATCAGGCAGGGAGCAGAATGCAGAGCAGTAGATGAGGCAGGGGAAGGGGGTCAGAGTGGCCCATGGAGAGGGTGTGGAGCCAAAAAGGCTGGCCTAGAGCCCTGGGGAGAATGTCACGGGATTCACACAGGTGGCCCCAGCCCCAGTGCTTGGGGAGCCGCTTGTTCCAGGGCTAGTGCCACTGCTGGGCTTCCCACCCCTCCCTGGAAGCAGCAGCTCTGGCTGTGCCACCTGTGAGGAGTCAGGCAGCTGCCCAAGGCCTTCACCCAGCTCCTCTTGCCCCACACCCTGCTGCAGCAAGCTCACCCAGTACTGGCCTCGGCCCCTCCATGGGGACAAGAGTGCCTCGAGAGCAGCAGTGTTATGTCCTGCGCCTTCCCTGCTGAAGGCCGCATCCACCGTGACTCACCGCCCGCTCACCCGCCCTGTGCTACCTGCTCTGGCGTCCTGTTGTAGAGCCGCTCCAGCTGCTCCTTCCTGCGCCGCTCGTGGCCGGCATCAAAGACGGGGATCTTCAGGTCGGTGCCCGGGGCAGCGCGCACATTGGCCAGCTTGGCACAGATGTGGTAGTACCGCTCCTTTAGGTCCTCCACCGACCGCTTCTGGGGAGTGTGGGGGTTGGGGGGCAACATCACCAAGGGGCCAAAGGAAGTGAGCAGCAGAGGCTCGTGCCTGACAGTGCAGGACAGAGGGGCAGCCTGGGAGATGGCAGGAGGGGAAGGGAGCCAGGATGACAAGGCCTGAGTAAGCTGCCTGCTAAGGACAGCGGTTCCCCACTGGTGGTCGCCCCCGTGCTGTTAAGCCAGGGCTGGGGGAGAGAGCGCTGACCTAGAGCCTATCCCCAACAGCCACTGCCTCACTGTAAGCCTGGTACTGCCTGCCCTGCTCTGTGCCTCAGCTGCCCCCTCAGGGGCCTCTATTATCCCTGAAAATCAGCATGGCCTTGTCCCATCCTGGGCCAACACCAAGCAGGGGCTGCAGGTGAGGACTCCTGGGTTCTACTCCCAGCCTGAGACTTGCCCCTTATGCCACAAGGGTAACAGACTTGCAGGTCAGGCTGTGGGACGCAACATGGGGAAACCACGTGGGAATTCAGCTGTCCAGTGACTGCTGGGCAACACTCTCTCCCTGGGCCAGGAACCCAGGAGTCCTGGCGCCCAGTCCAGCCCTCTAACCACTGGTACACTGCCTCCTTCCTGGCACCTGGCAGTTGCAATCCCAGCGAAGACGCACCAGCACATGCAACAGGGACCCCACATGCGTGGGTTTAATCATGAATCAAGTGAGCAGCAAGACCCACATGCCCAGCTGTCAGGCTTCGGCATTCCCTCCTCATGAAGGTGATCTGGAGGGTTCCCGGCTCTTGGCTGTGTGGTGGGCCCAGCCCCCATGCCCCCGCACCAGTGCTCACCTTGAACTGCTGGTGGTCATAGCGGTCGTGGATGACGACGAAGCGCAGGTCGAAGCGACGGGCCAGGTCAAAGAGGTGGTCAGTCTCAGCCTTGGTCCAGGCATCATCATGCAGGTACAGCTGGTACTCCTGCTCTGAGTACACAGGCACCTGCACTGTCTGCACAGGGACAGAGCGATGGGCAGCTTACACCAGGTGCCCCAAGGGAGCCCTTCCCCCATTGTCCGTGAGTGGAGGGGTGGGCGAGAGCCAGAAACACAGACCCCAAGGGCAGCGGCAGATGCAGAGCTTTCCCTGGCTTTCCCATGGGTGGTATCTCCCCAGGACACCATGATGGACCCTTCCAACCCCAGCACCTCCCTGGTGCCAATGGAGCAGAAGAGCACCTGCTGGAGGGGAAGCCTTGCTGATGCCAGGGACATGAGGAGACTGCCCTCTGCACTGCCAGGGCACAGCCTGCTTCAGGCTCCAATACCCACTGTAACCGTGCTCTGCTGCCACACCTGGCATCAGCTTCCTACCCCCACAAGAGACGCACGCAGAAGCACCAGTGGGGCTGGGCATCCGAGCTGCCCTCACTCAAGGAGCCTTCACACTCTGCAGAGCCCCAGCGCAGTGTGCACCACATTGCCCATCTCCAGGCAGCCCAGAAGCACATTTCAAGCCCCACAACCAAGGCTGCAACCGAATTCCATCTGGCTTCACACATCAAGGATAATAAAGAGTCCTTTTTCAGATATGTAGGGAGTCAGAAAAAAGCAAGGGTAACATTGGACCCTTGCCAAACCAAATGGAACAACTGATAACCGACACCCTGGAAAAAGCCAAACTGCTTAATGGGTATTTCACATCAGTCTTTCATCAGCCCAAAGGGACCGCCTTGTCTAGCATGGTAAAGGATGGCCAGGATGAGGGTGAATTTATAGCCAGCATCGGTGTAGACCTTGTAAAGGATCACCTTGAGAGGCTGGACATCTTCAAGTCAGCTGGTCCTAACAGATTACACCCTAGAGTACTCAAGGAGCTAGCAGGTGTCAGCCCAGCCACTGGCAAAAGTATTTGAAAACTCATGGCGCTCAGGTGAAGAACCTGAAGACTGGAAGAAGGCCAATGTGGTACCCACCTTTAAGAAAGGGCAGAAAGTAGATCCTGTGAATTACAGGCCAATCAGTTTGGCCTCAATCCCCGGTAAGATCAAAAAGAAAATTATCAAAGAGACCCTTCTGGATAAGCTGGCTGATGGCAACATCCTGAGGGACAGCCAGCACAGGTTTGTCCCGGGTAGGTCTTGCCTGACCAATCTCATCTCCTCCTATGATCAGGTGACATATCACCTGGATAAGGGAGAAGAGATTGACATAATATATCTGGACTTCAAAAAAGCCTTCGATCTGGTGTCCCATGATCTCCTCATGGAAAAACTGGCCAACTGTGGCCTCAGCTACACCACAGTCCGACGGCTGGGGAATCGGCTCAATCATGACTCCCAAGTCTCTTTTGGTCATGGTGCTAGTGAGCATAGCACTGCCAAGCCTATAAGTGTGATGCATGCGGAAGAGATGGCACAGTGCTCGAACACTGTAGGAAAGGTGTTCAAGGCACACGGCAGGTGCTGGTGAGGCATCAGCGACCTCCCCTGAATCCCCTGGGCTTTCCACTGACCTCATGTTCTGTGGCTGTAGGCCTAGAGCAGCACCAGCTGCCAGGCCTTGCTGGCTGATGATTCCCACCAGGTGAAGGCCAGCATGCAGCAGGCAGCCGCCTCTGCTCCCAGTGCTGGCTCGATGGTGTCGATGCATTGGCCATAACAGGGACAACTGGACTCACATGGGGCTGGTTGGTCTCCTTCCTCCGGGGGAACGCCGCCAGCCCTAGAGCTCTCTCCTTTCGTGACTGCCCTTCCCAGTTTACAAGTCAGCCCTGACACAGCCTCAGGTATCACTCCTACCCCTGCCCCAGGGAAAGCAGGGGGCCTGCGGCTGCCAGCATCCTGCTGCTGCAAAGGGGGTTCATATATGCTTGAGAGACCCCAGGCAGAAGCCGTGCCCAAGCTAGAAGGTGGCAAATCCACTCCCCCAGTCCACAGCAATCTGACCAGGGGAAATCCCTTCCTGCCTCCAAAGCAACATGCGTCTGAAACTAAGCAAAGGGGCAAGACCGTCTAGCCAGAACCCTGCAGGGTTCATCCCAGCAAAAGCATTGGCACAGCCCAGTCCCCACCCCCAGTCCTGGCTGCAGTCAGCCCCCAGGACCTTCGAGGGAGGCTCAGAAAAAAGGTTGGTGTGAGTGGGTCAGGTGCCTGGTGCTGTGCCAACAACTCTGCCCCTTTACAAGTCCTTCTGAAAGCCTGAAATAGCCTGGGAGTGGGACTGGGTGCCTGATGCCCTATCTGGCTCTGCTCCCTTGGGAGCCTCTTAGCCAGTCCTTGCAAAACAAACCATTCACTAATCCTTGGTCCAAACAACCACACAAAGGAGTAAAGCAAACCTTTTGCCTCTTCCCAGGCAGTGGCAGAGGGCCCTTTAGCTCAGGCCCTTCCTGGAGGCAAGCTCCTCTGGGTTTCAGTCTGCTCCTGGCCAGCAAATGTCTCCTTCCCTACTCCAGCTGCTTGTTCTCTCTCCCCTTGGGCTTTTAACTGCCAGCTCATCACCCACAGCTGGAGTCCTACCCCAGGGCTGTCTGCCTCCCTCAGAGAGCCAGACCATGTTACATTTGATTACTAGGTACTCCATGTGCTGACAATGCCCAGCCCATCTGCCACATATCTCAGGCTCCTCATGTCCCAGGTGAGGCTCGACAAGAGCTGGATGGCTGACTGCAGGGAGCCAGTGGCCATTGTGGGCAACCACTCTGTTTGAGGATGATCTCTACCAGGGCTCATTGATGGGTCTTTAAGTGACTGAAGAGCTCAATCCTTGAGCCACAGATCTGACCAGAGAAGATTCAGGTCTTTCCACAGGGGAGAGCAGCCTGCAGGCTAGGATTCCTCTTCTTTTTCCTTCCTCTGCTCTCTCTTCCCTGCTTCCAAGGCAAGGCACTTTCCCTCAAAATGGGCAGCTGCTTGGTTGAGGTTATGGTTGTGGTGCAACTGGAGCTGGTTAGCGGGCAGCTCTTCCCAGCTCTTGATGTCAGCAGCTGTTGTCTTGAGGTCTGGTTTCAACATGTCCACGTGGCATTTCCTCTGACCACCGTGAGATCTCAGGCTGCAACTAAGCTGGCAAGATCAGCCCTGACTAAGCCATCCCAGGCAGTCTCTGTCCAACCTGCTCTGGAAAACTTCCAGGGATGGAAATTCCACCACTTCTCTGGGCAGCCTGTTCCAGTGCTTGACCACCCTCAGAGTCAGAAAGTCCCTCCTTATCTCCAGCCTCAGTTTCTCCTGCTGGAGCTTGAAGCCATTGCTCCTAGTCCTGTACCCTGCAGCCACAGAGAAAAGCCCATCTCCAGCCTCTCTGCCATTGCCCTTCAGGGATTTGAAGACCGTCCTCAGTCTTCTCTTCTCCAGACTAAATAAGTCAAGCTCTTCCAGCCCAAAACTGGACACAGGGCTCTAGGGGAGGCCTCACTAGTACTGAACAGAGTGGAAAAATAACTGCCCTTGATTTGCAAGTGATCCTCCTGATCATACAACCCAGGATACCATTGACCTCTTGCAACAAGAGCATACTGCTGGCTCCTATACAGTTTATAATCCCCTATAACTGCCAGATCCATCTGCAGTCCTGCAGCCCAGCCAGTCATTCCCCAGTCTGGATTCATACATGCAGTTATTCTGTTAAATGCAGGGCTTTGCACTTGTTTCATCTCATCTGGTTGACTGCAACCCAGGGAGTCCATGCAGTGTAGATGCCCATCTCCACAGCAGGGCTCCTGACAGGAGGTACGTTACACCCATGCTCAGCAGATCACCTTAGCTTGAACGGGATTTCCAGGCACAATCTACAACACAGCTACCCAGCTACAAAGCCCACCTCACGTCTGGGGAGGAATGGTGTCCTTCAGACAGCACTGAACCAAGAGCCAGGGTCCACAGGCACCCACGCTCTGAGAGTCCAGATTGGCATGGCTGGGTCTGATGCTCTCACTGGACACACAGTGGCTGCCTGAAGGGGCAAGGGGCTGGACTCAGTGGCCAGGATGGCCCTTCCATACCCAAGTCCTATGGATTTGTATCACCCACTGCTCCTGCTTTCACAGTAAGACCTGCATTTCCTCTCTGGCATCTGCAAGGGGTGGAAGAACTACCTGGAAGGAAACCTCTCCCCAGAGCCTTCTCCTCTGGGCTGCTCCATGAGGGCTTCGACCCATGGGGTTTCACAGCTGGACTCCATGATCCAAGCAGCTGCAATGAGCATGTTTCACAGACTCCAAATTGCAGCCAGGCATTTACAGAGCAGCTGTGCAGGGCCATCCAGATGCAGGCCACAGCAGCAGTGAAGCCACGGCAGGTCTCCTGCAGTGGGTCTCATAGGGACAGGTAACAGATAGTGCTCCAAGAACTGCCTGTCCCTCAGACCAGCTTCCAGCAAGTTTCACTGGGCCGTCAGCGCAGCACCACAAATCACTAGGGCTACACAGGTCCCGCGTGTCACGGGAGCTTGTGTTCAGCTGCTTACAACTTGTCCAAAATTGACATGGCTTGAGCTGAAGTCTTCCACACAAGGCACTTGATGTTGGCTACATCACCAATTCCAGCCCAGATACTTTAGCTGCCTTGGGTTTTCCCTTTGCTTTGTTCTCATCTCAGCCACGCCAGAGAACTCCAGCCATCTCTTTCTGGAGCATCTGTGGGCTCCCTGTGGTTGGAGTAAGATGTGATGATGAAGGAGGGGAGGTTCCACCTGTCAGGGAGAAGCCTTTTGCTGCTCCTGGGAAAACTCACCCCTGGCTGGCTTTAAGCCTCTGGCAAATCACAGCTTGTACCTGCTCAGTAGCAACTTCTTGGAGTTTTAGCAGCTAAAGTCTCCCATGATCCCGCCAGCCAGAGCATCATCCATCCCAGAGCTCAGCAGTGTTTTCCCTGCAACTGCAGCTCCAGGGTAGGGGGAACTTAGGGGGCAGAGACCAATGGCACAAGGAACCAGGTAGGAGGAGCAGAGACTGGCAGCAGCTGTGGGGAGGACTCGGACTCACTAGGCTGAGAAACAGGGGCTTCGCAGGGCAGAAACATGGACTTGAACAAGTTGCCACAGTTGGGGAAGAGGCAGATCTGCAACAGGCAGAGGTGAGAGGGGACAGGGAGAAGGCAGTCAGCTTTGGGGGAGGTGGGGACGGACAGCCAGAACAGCCCGAGCCAGCACACAACATCCTAGTGAGGAGTCCACAGACCAGACCAGATGGTCCATTAAAGCCTACCTCAAAAGTGCCCTCAGGCAGAAGGTGGCTCAGATCCCCTGGGCATGTGACCTCTAGTCTCTCCTACGTTATATGCTTGACAAATTTACAATCCTAGAATCACAGAGCAGTGGGGCTGGCAGGGAACTGCAGAGGTCACATCTAGTCCACCTCCTGCCTGAGGCAGGATCAGCCCCGTGCAAGCCAGGCCAGACAAACCCATGGTCCAAGTCAAAGCAAAACTGCAGTCACCCCTGACAGCCCCAGGCATCACGTCTGCCCCAGGGAAAGCAAGGGGACTGCGGCAGCCAATGTCCTACAAAGGATGTTAATATACACTTGAGACCCCAGGCAGAAGCCGTGCCCCACTAGAGGAAGGCAAACCCCCATCCCTAGGCTGTACCAATCTGACCAGGGAGTAAAATTCCTTCCTGACACCAACCAGCAAAGCCCAGAAGCCTGGGAAATACCCACAGTAGAGCACAGGCCTAGCTACGCCACAATCATTGAGGCAATGCATCCACACCAGAAGACAGGAGAGCGATCCAGGCTGACCTGGACAGGCTCAGCAAATGGGCAGATGAGAACCTGATGGTGTTTAACACTGAAAAATGCAAGGTTCTCCACCTTGGGAGGAAAAACCTGCAGCCTCCTTATAGGCTCGGCAGTGCTATGCTGGCTAGCACTGGAAGAAAGAGACTTGGGGGTCATCGACCACAAGATGAACATGAGCCTGCAATGCAATGCTGCGGCTAGTA